TAAATGATAAAATTTCGCTATAAATTATAATTTAAATGTGAATTTATATCTGACTTAAGGTAAAGCCATTAAGTAAAACATTTGAAGATATATAGATAAAATTGATATACCTAGAGCAGAGCACAAAATGTACTGTAAAATATCAAAGATTCTGGTAAATTAAGAAAATTCTGGCACAGTTTTTTGATATTCAGAAATTCCTGTTTGTTTAAAATTTTAATACTTCCTTATATTATAACTGATTATAACTATCTCCGGCTATAGATCCTAAATTCTGTTTAATAAAAAGGTTGCTAAAAAAATATCAGAGAAGTGTGGCGATATAGAGTAGTGATTATGTTGTCACTCCCCAAGTGGCAGGTCTAGAGTTCGATTCCCACCAGAGATGTTTTTCAAAAAATAGGCCTGTGTTCCAGTAATATTTATTCGATGATTGGTTGGGTATATCACCTGTAACCTTGATACCACCATCTCATTATGGAAGCTTTAGGATCTAAGAAACCAGAATATTTGAAACCCATTTGGCAAGACCTGAGCTAGAAGTAGTGAAGAACTTCGACGATATTACAGAAAATCAGAACCGGAGACCGAAAAACCAGACAAACAACTCTGGGGCAAGAAGGGTCCACCAACCTGGTCGTCGGAGTCACATTAGAGGAAAAGATCTGATGCTACGGAATTCGGAACCAAGGGAAGTAAAACCAGAAAGCATTTAGAGCCTAGGTACAACAACCTTTCCGAGCTAATTGGTTTGGTAGTTGGGGAGAAATCGATATAAAGGCCAGTTAGAAGTAGGTATTGAGATCAGAATGAACCTTGTAAGGGCAAGGAGTAGATATGGTAGTGATGCAGAAGATCGCAAGTTCTAGTCTTCAGATTGGGCATAAGTACTAAAAAATCTAGGTAATATATGTGTGGACATGGACCACTCTGGTAGGTTACTATGAGGATAAAGTAGTTCTAAGAGGCCTTAGTAGCAGATACTCTTCTGAGGAAAGTATCTGATAGCGCTAAATCGATCAGAGAGTTTAAATAGGGGATCCACAAGCGGATCTTAGGTATGGCAATTGGTGGGTAACTATAGATAGAAATAGATATAGCGGAGCCTTTAATTAGACAATGACTAAAGTTGTACATATGACTAATTATACTCTCGTTGATGTAACAAAGTCAAGGGATGCCTACTAAGTATCCCAATAATTGAACTGAAAAGTTAATAAATCGTGCCAGACCCCCAAGTGGTCACCTTAATATTTAAAAAAAAAATATCAGAACACGTTATGCTACAATTTTGTATCCTGGTCTAGAGATATGCTATCATATACTTATCAGTACAAGATGTTAATTGTTATAAAACTAACAAAATGAAAATCACAACAGATATCAATAATTATCTAAGTTAAAATATATGCTAACTAACACCTTACACTGATAAGTGCGTAATAGCACATATCTAGTTTAAAAGTATAAGTACAATGCTATAATTTTAATGAATTATGACAAAAAATACTGTAATTTATTATAATTATGACTAATTACAGCATTATATTCATACCTGTAATTATTTGAATTATATAAAATTAGTTCAGGTTCTCCATATATCTGAGAACTGGTCTTGATCTTAAACCAATAAGATTGCTATTACTATTTACTATTTTTGATAAATTTTATTATTCTAGTATTTTCTACATAATCACCATAGTTTATTTTTTATATGTAAGTAACTTTATAGAAAGTTTATATATAGTCATATCTCTATATAGTCTCCAGATTTTTTGGTTCCAAAGATATAATTATATGGGAGTATGACTGTAGTTTGTTTACATAGAATTTTACATAGTTAGGCAATCATTTTTTAGTAATATTTTGACAACTACTAGACTATTTTTAATTTTATTACTATTAGATACGTCTTGACAAGCTCTACAATTTTTACTTAATACAGAAGAGCAATTAACTTAGCATAAAAAAAGTTTTTCTTAGGTGAACACCCCATTCAAAGTATATGTGATTTATATAGTGATCTATATCATGTTATACTATGATTATACATCAGGTGACTAACAAATCACCAATTAATTATCTAATTTATTTTTATTTTATGATATTATATATAATAGCTGAACTTATCCCTAAATAGAATATAATCAAAATTGTTTTTTTTGTAATTAATTTATTAATATATCACTAACCCTAATTATTATACTTTACTAACTATACTGCTAAATCTAGAGAGGTCTGATTTTTTATTTATCAATTTTTTATAATATCATATATAAACTCACTAATATACTACTAACTTTAATCCTTAGAGAAGGGCCATTTATTAGCTGATATTTTTTATTAAGAGGCTACCTTCTTTCCCCTTTATCTGATTTTAAATAAAAATTTTTAATTGGCTAAAACTATTTACCTGATAATTTTTTTTATTCCCTTCTCCCTAAAAAATCAGCTAATTTCTGGTACTTCTCTTACTTATTTCTAACAATGCTATTAAATACAACTTTATCACTAATACTAACCCTTATTTATCATTAACTAGACTATTAACTTTACAAGCAAATAGCAAACAGAATGCTACAGTACAGGACAGTAAAAGCCATATACTTATTATTATAGATGCCAATTTTCTGCCTGCAGTATAACCCACGTGCATCGTGTATTGACCAATAAGAATACAGTACATGCTTATTGTTGATTGGTTAGTTATAATATTAATCAGTACTATCGCTTTATACTCAAGTACCAGTACTCTATAATTTAGCGAAAGAATTAAAATAGAACTGTCTTTATTTTAAAAAAAGAAATATTTATGACTAAATATTGTATATTAGATGTATATAACATGGGTTATACAGCGATTAGTTTGTATGTAGAGTATATATATACTTAAGCGAATAATGTATAATTTTTTCACACTTTTTTACATACTAAATCTTATTTTATAAAACTATATATACTAAATAAAAATGATTTATTTTATAATAAGTCTTTATACAGGTAAAGAAAGTAATATTCGACATAACTAATTTAATATATTATCATTAATTGAATGGTGGTGTTTATGCTTTTTAACTGCATATTTGGCTGCTTTTCCCTTTAGCCCTTTCTGATATGCATCTATCCATCGATAAGAAAGTTTCGCATACCTTCTAATTTGTTTAACTGAAATTGAATCAAGTACAATTGGTATCTGTTTTTTTGGCCCTTTCAATGTATAATCACAAGATTCTCTTATACACTTCTTTGTTGCGCTCTAGTACATCTCAATATAATTAAGCTCTGGATGAAATTTTGAATAAAATATTATCTGTGGTAAATATTACAAGTTATTGTTATATGAATTCTCAATATAGTAAAGAAATTAAATTTTGATACACCCAATACAGCAAAATTTTCAAATTTTTTATTATTAGGTCTGATCAATAGGAGGAACCATCAATATTACATGACTGATCCTTCACCCGGTGTGCAACATATAACAAAATTATTTTACAATACCAGATCATTTTGCTAGTACATGTTATGATTATAATCCCACACCATTTTATTATAATAAAAATAGGGTAGGTTATAATCATAACATATACTAGCGGAATGATCTGGTATTGTAAAATAATTTTTTTATATATTGCACACTAGGTGAAAGATCAGTTGTATAATATTGTAATGAAAGTAACTTATATTAGTAAACATAATTACCTTATGTCCATGTTTTTCTATTTCTTTTTAAATTAATCTATGTTTAGCCAAGAAGTCTGGTTGATTTGCAACAAGACGATGTGCACAACAGTTAGTTATATTAAGATCTTGCTCATTTTTTTTATATTTCTCATAGTTAGCTAACATTTCATCTTTCCAGAGACCTTTCTCCTCAAGAAAAGTTTTCATTCCTTTTGGTTGCGATCTTAAAAAAGGGTTCTCATAATCATCAGGGTATACTATTGTTTGCGGTTCATCATTCCAAATCGTGATTTTCATTTTTGGTTGTTTGCTACCAGGGTATAGGTTCATTCTGGCTGCAACTAGTGCATCGGGTACTATAACAGTATGACTAGTCGCATTATTGAATGCCCATATTCCAACACATTCAGGATGGGTTCATTTAAAGATTTCTATAGCATTTTTTACCTGTTCTAACAATTTTTCACCATTCCAATATCTATCATGTTTTGCACCTAATTGTATTATTACTCTTGCCTCTCCTATTTCATCTTTTAATCTTCCAATTTCTTTTGTAAGAAACTCACTAACATGAAGCCCAGGGCCAAGGCCTTTTTTTTCTTAATAGCAGTTCTTCTTCAGGTACCAAAATTGATTAATATCATCATAAGAATAAAAAATATACTCGTCATGAATAATTAAAATATGTTTTTTCTCTTCTGGTAAGAGATATGGTTCTTCACAAATTTCACAATTAGCATCTAACCATCTTGGCATTAACCTGTCATACTCTTCCATCTTTTGTAAAAATTCTTGATGATATTTAACAACATCCTCTCTTTTATGACCGTCTATATATATTCCTTTCTTATATCGTTTATAAGTAAACTTTATTTTTTTTAACCAACGTCGTGCTATATGTAAAAAACGGTTTGAACTTGATCTATATGAAATTCAGGAAAAATTTTGGTTTCAAAGAACTTTTTAAGTAACGATAGATTTATTTCAAATTTTGTAGCTCGTAAATATCTTGCAACTCTTAACGAAACATATTCATCATGAAGAAAGGATTTTGACAGATGTTTTCCATGTTGTGATGAAGGTAATACCTTTTTTTCTAAGCATGTTTTCGCCCATATATGTATACAGCTAGCACGATACTCACCTCTATTATAGATTTTTGCTACTGTATAGCTTGTTTTCATTCTAGGTGTCTTATATTGAAGTAGTCATATGTAATGAATTACTGAAATATATCTTGCCTTATCTGGTTTTGATATATTAGCATTGTTGATTAACTGTTATATCCTTGTGATTGTTTCTTGAAGTTGTTGTTCTCACTGTTCAGAATATTCTGTAGGATCGTTTTCACTTTCATAGTCTAACTGGTCTTCTATTTCATCATTATTACTCAGATTCATATTGTTTGTTAAGCTAAAAAATTAGGTTATTTTATAACTTCCTACTGCTGCTAATTTATTTTCTCTTAATTTTCGTTGCCTTGTTCGAACAGAGTTGCCAGTATATCTCCAGTATGAGCTTTTTATATTATCCAGCTTTTGAGTATTTTAAAACAACCGTTTAAAAACTAACTCTGCTTTTTTCTCATCTTCTAGATCATACTTATTATTATTAATTATAGGTATATCTTCACTATCACTATCATGGTTTCTATATTGTCTTGCTTTTCTAATATTTATACGATGAACTAACAGGTATTTTTTAAAACGACCCATAGCTAATACAAAAGATATTTATATGGCGTTATAGATAAAAAAAATATAACTCAAAAATTTAAATCGCAAGGCTATTTCTAAGCATTTAGTAAAACAAAATAAGAATTAATAGAATAATGCAATAAACTTAAAAAACTTTTAAGAGTAAGGAGAATCGCTTATTATCTATTAAAAAGCTATGATTCGAGACGTCTTTGTTAACTTATTTACACTCTTTTTATCCCTTAGATTGTAGTAGAATACAGGCAAATTTGCCTGCGTTTTTACACTTTTTT